AGGATCCCCATGTATCTCTGGGATTCTTGAGAGCGCGCGTGGGTTTTGGGGTTCAGGGACCAGATCTAGGGTTCAAGCATTAGGGGAAGGGTGAGGGGTGTCACCCACGGGTTTTAGACTGAAGGGAGGTTGGGGAAGTGAATTTCAAAAAAAATCTTGCCTCCGTACTTAGTAAAGACTGAGGGAATGGAATCTGATTGCAACCCCTGGCTAAACCCCGACACTGATCCTGGCATACTGACTTCGGCGCGTCCCTCTGAAGCACCAGCACTGTGTGGCTGATACCAAAATTCTTCATGACCCTATGCGGCTAAAATCCCATGGCTCCCAAGGTTTCCGGAATGTGGGGTCATGCAGAGTAAACCTTGAATTCTTAACACCTGCTCGCCTATTTTCTTCCTGCCACTCTCATACGTAGACGCGGTAGAGCGCAACATAGCTTAACCCAAATTAGTCTAATCAAGTAAGATGCGAAACTTCATGTTTTTCTTGTTTTTGCAAAAAAAGCATCTTCAAAACCTTTAACGTTGCCAGATTATAGATTGTTTCTGGGTGGGGGCAGTACCCAAAACATACGTACCGCGCGCATAAGCTGTAACCCCGAACCCTAATCCTTAGCACCCTGAACCCCAAGCCCTCGGCCCTAAACCATATCGTAGGTAGCTGGACTGCGGCCGACTTCGCTCGAGGACAATCGGTGCCGGATTTTTTGATACGGAGCTGCATCTTACTTAGACGGGTTTGCGCTTCAGGGTTGGTTGTGGTGCGGTGCTGAAGAAGAGCTGGTCATGCCACAGAGTCGCTTCGAGTGTGTCGTGCTGTGCGAGACGCTCACATGGCCGGCCATCCAGCACATTCCCCCCTCCCACGCTGTCCCCGTCGGCCAACGCACCTAAACCAATCCAAACCAATTCTTACTAGTGTTTGAGCCCTAAGCTCAGTTTGGTCCATCTAGGTCAACAACATAACACATCTGAATCCAAGGTTGTGACAGGCCACATGCAAAGGCCACGTGAGATGTTTATCGGGCCTTAAACACCCTCCAAACCCGCCGCCTCTGAGCGTCGCCTCTGAGCGTTGAGGGCAAGCCTCTGTGGGCTGCAGAGGCCCGCCCCTAAACGTTTCTTAAAGGCATGACCATCGCAACGAGAACAGATCCCAGCACGCGGCCTAATGTAAGTGCTACTGTGCCCCTGCCAGGTGCGGCGTTCGGCCGGGGGGAGAAGCTGAATGCCTAGTAAGGGCGGTCGTACAGGCATGTCTTTTGTAAGTCCTTGCGGAGACATTAAGCCCAAGCTGTGGACCTTAAACTGCTGTCGCATTTTTTTAGCTCTGGGGTTCTATGTTTTTGCCTGGTCATGTTTCAAAATTTTTCAGAATTTAAGCCCATAGCCCCGAAGAGAGGGGCATTTTGAAATAGAACTGAATTCTGATAACCCCGAAGGAACAGCTCAAAACAATTGTTGGCGGGAATGAGGGCATATTCGGCAACCTACACCTACACCTTCAACCCGGAACCGCTTGAAGCGTAGATGCGCCACCAAGGATGCAAGCATTCGATGGGGAACTGGAACAATGCAAGAGAGTGGCTGCTGTGGCTCTGGCAAACGCTTGCCTGGAAATTTAAGGGTCCTTTTGGGGAGTCCCTTTAAAGAGGTTTACAGAGGTTGGGCACGTTTCTAGAGGGCTCTGTAGGATTTGGGCTTCCAAGAATCAAGGGTCGCTTTTTCGGGCTCTTCAAGAATCATTCGAAGATGTTGTGGTCTAAAGCGGGGGCCTGTAACAGACGACCCTCTGTTTCTGGGAAGTCCCGTTTAAGTTTTGGATGTTGTGTTTATGTTCTGATGATTATGGTGGAGGGTTTAACGGGTTTAACCTTAGCGATGTCAGTTGAAGTTTAATCCCTCATGCCGGATCCCTTAAACCTTGAACCCATAAAGACTTTCAGGCTTTATAGCATTTCGCTCTGGTAGGTTGTTGGTCTCTTGAAAGTCAGGTTTAGACAGAAATACCAATCCCATAACGGAGTTTAGGAGCTATGCACGGCTATCTATGACCTTGTTAGGGGCCGCTGTCCAAGGAGGTTAGTAGATATTCCACGAAGCTAGAGATTACCAATCTGACTCAGACCGAGGGCCTAATTGACAAGCTTCCACATCCACACGCTAAGGCCGTGCCAAAAAGCATGTTCACATGTTGCCAGCAAAGTGTCACCAGGACGTTTCTAAAACGAAGCCTGCAACTTTCACACATCCGACACCCAATCGTCACTCCTCTCCTCATTACAAAGTCCTGTCTAGCTTGCGTAAGGCCAATGCCTGGATCCAAAACATATATATATATCTAGAGAAGTACTTACTGCTTCTTAGTCGGGAATATCGGAGTACATTAAATGGGATGATACAGGGTTATATTCCCTTGTGCCCTACGAATAACCAGAAAGAGTAGTACAGTTGAGCAGGATCTTAGGACCCCGAGCAGGAAGTTAAGTTCTAAGTATATCTTTTATTATTACAGTTTTTATTGTTGATGTTGCTACTATTGCTACTATTCTTGTTATTATTGTAATAGGTTCAGAACCTGAAATGACAATGCCCTGAAGATTATCTCTAACTCGGTGACTCTTTTCCTCTCAGAGGCTACATTTGATCATAGTCAAAAGGCCTGCCGACGCAGACACTTGAAGCGTGTCATCCTTGCGCATATGCTTCTGCCAGCCTACTCTGACAACGGTCATTCTTATCATCACTATTATTATTCATATTATGACTACCAGCATTACTAATTATTGCTTTTCTTACCACTGCTTAAGCAGCTCCATGTCATGGTGGGTGTTTGCTGAAATGGGTGTTTCGCGCAATCTGCATAAGGAGCTCCATGTGAGCTATAGTTTGCATAAATTCCTTTAAAGGGGTTCTATAGGGGCTTATGTAGGGAATTATTTACAAGGATTTGTAAGGGGGACACTACGAGTTCAGACTGTGGCTAATGTGTTGCTTGGATTTCGCCCGAAATGGTATTTCTCGCAATCAGTCCTATAAATCTTGAATAGGGACACTTATGCTCTCATGTAACCCTTGTATATTCTGAGTGTCCCAAGGCTAGCCCAAATCCAGAAATCCTCAAAGCATTGCTCAATTTTGGCACGCCCCCATTTTCCATTCTCAGGTCCGTAGCAACTGAGTACCGCATGTCCGTTGCCCTTGCAATTTGTAGAGTGCATTACCCTGAACAATCTTAGGGATTTCGGTTTTATGGTTAAGGAGTTAGGTAATATGTGATGTGACAATCCTGTTGTAACCGTTTGTAGACATGTTCCCTAATCCATTAGTAGCCCCAGGGTGTGGAAACAAACTTAAAAAGCCGTGCAACTCTACCCTTGAATTGGCGGCTTACAGTCAGGCTTGTTGGAGGAGTTCAGGGCTCGTGGGTTTGGCCAAGATGTAAATGAATTACAGAACTAGGGAACCCTAAACCCGGGTGCGTTCTCAGCTGGCAGCTGGAGCTCTTTTCGGAGTGAAGTAAACCTTGCAGCTTTTGGGGTTGGTGTTCGGGTTTACCGGAAAGTTTTCTTCAATTTAAAGTTGGCCTGGTTGGTCCAAGAGTGTTTGTGCCCATGATTCTCAGGGCCAAATACGATCAGATTCTACAGTGTGGTCAGAATGTAGGACGTAGGTACTCATGGGAGTGTGCAGCAATGGTTGCATTCTGGCAGTGCAAGCCTGCAAGGGCAACTTCCGTAAATCAGAAAGATCTCTCTTGGGGGATGTGCCGATGGCAGCCCCGTGCTTGGGGTTCTACCGAACTACAGGGATCTTCATCATCTAAGGTTTTGGGCTCAGGGGATTCAAACATCTTGTTGCCCCAACATACCTTACACATTGGGAAACATGGTGCTATAGCATGTCCGAGCCATGCCAGAATTTCAAAATCAACAGTATTTAATCGACCTACTTTACGGCCACTAACCATATGATTGTGTGACTGTCATGCCTTCGAGGCCATACTCGCAAACCCTACACCCTGAACTCACCGACCCATAAGCGCTAAACTCTAATCCCAAACCCTCAACCCTGAGCCCTAATCCCCAAGCCCATTAAAATACGACACCCTACATCCTCAAGCTTCTGCGCTGAGAGAGGGAACCTCCCCACTGCGCCCTGAACTGTGCTTCTGATTTGGACTAAATGCTGAGCAGAAAAAGGCGATGTTTTCTCCCCCCCCCAAAACGCGGTGTTGATAGTCATGGGGTTGCGGGTGTTTGGTCTAGGGTTTAGGGTTTAGGATTGGGGGCAGGTTTAGGGCGTTTTGCAAAATCCACTTTCGGAGAGCCATGCATATGTTTTTTAAAAGACATCCATGGGGGTAGTTGCAGACTTCCTATGGCCATATTACACATTATCCTTCAACCTAAACCTTATACCCTAAACCAGCCGAATCTGGGGGGTGCCCACCTGGTAGCTATCCTCCTGGAGGTGGTTTGAAAGGCGGGCTTTCTCAAAACAACCCGAACTCAAAACCCAACCCTTACAGGATTCCGATGAAGGGCTCAGAGGACCTTTTTGCAATCCCCGCATATCCCGAAGATTTCGAAGCAATTTTAGGGTTTAGGTTTTAGGGTTCAGCCTCTGAAACTATGGACTTCCCCTAAACCATAAATCCTTAACACGTAACCTGTGCTTAAGCACGGCTGCCTGAGGCCGAACCGCCTTCCTAAACCTCAAACTGTGCACGGGAACCCGATGTTTAAGCAATTTAGGGGTTCGGGGGTGGTTCCGTGAGCCCCACTAGGCTATGAGGGTTTAGGTTGTTAGGATTTACCTTAAACCCTATACGTCAACCCCCAGGGGTTCATGGCATACAAAAAACCCGTGGGCTGAAACGACCTTATAATACCCCTTAAGTAGATAGAATTTGGGGTATATGGGGATCTTATTAGAATATACCCAAAGCCATATTCTATTTACTTAGGAGGACTATGACCCCAAACCCTACGGAAGGTTCACCCGCACCTACTTGACTCCACTGCCGACGAGGAGGCTGGCCAGAAGCATGTGTAGTTCCCAAAGTTAGGATCCCGTTTTGGTACCCCTAAAAATTAGCTGCGGTAGCATAACATATACCCAAAAGGGGCCCATAATTTTGAGAACAACCCATGGGGAGGGACAGGTTCAGGATTTAGGGATTTGGGCTTTGTTCAGGGTCTACTTAGGTGATCTTCTGATTTAGCAAGTCTACTTACTATCCCCAAAAAAGCTGTGATAAGTCCCATGGGTCTTGGGGCTTAAGGACCTGGGGTGGGTCTTCGAACGTTATAAGCACAACCAACGGTTACGGGTTCAGGGTTTAGGGTTTATGGAACGGCCTTAGCATAAAGCGATGCTGGATGCATCCACAGTAGGTACACAACTGGGTTGTTGTTAATGTTAAGGACCTTAAACGAATCTACCATAGAATGGCCAGGCAGAAAAAATGCTGTTCTCATGCAAACTTAATTTCAGGTTCCTTCGCAGAAGGCCAGATTTAAGGAGATCGAGTTTGCGCGTTCTGGTGCTTCGGGATTTGGGGCTTTAATTGTTTTCACGAATGCGGTTTCAGAATGTCAGGGCACAGGGCTTTCGAGTTTTCGGGTCTCCAGCACATGATTTGAGATGATGGGTGTTGATGGTTACAGGGCTTGGGGTCATGATGGCTGTTTGCTGGGGTTTGACATTAAGTTTTGCGTGTTCAGCCTTTTTCTTGCCTTCTCCCGAGACTGACATGGAACTCCAGCTTTGTAAATAAGCCAGGGTAGACCCCTGTCATGGGACATAACAATGGCTTTAGTTCACCCAGTCTTGACTCCATTTATCCTCCTAGATATGCACCCTTATACAAGTGTATGTGTGTATATACATATATATATATATGTATACGTGCACATATGCGAGCCACTAGGCCTCCTGATCTAAGGAAATCTGAGGTGCGGAGGTTGACCCACAAAAACTTTACATAGCCTTCTTATTCCTCCTAATCTGTCCATACATGCACTATGTCCGGGTCCACCAAAGCCACTCCGCACCTAAAGATTCCCTTAACGCTGCCACCAATTCATACCACCACCGTCGCCTCCGCCGCCACCGCTGCCACCACCACTACAACAACAACAGCAGTAGTAGCAGTAGCAGTAGCAGTAGCAGTAGCAGTAGCAGTAGCAGTAGGAGCAGGAGTAGGAGTAGTAGTTAAAGTAGTAATAGTAGTAATAGTAGTAATAGTCGTGGTGGTGGTGGTGGTGGTGGTGGTGGTGGTGGTGGTGGTGGTGGTGGTGTGGGTGGTGGGTGGTGGTGGTGGTGG